AGGTTGCAAAAGTAGATGACAGTTCGCCATAAGCTCTGACTCGACTGGTAGTGTTCGAGTAAAGAGCCTTTACAAGGTTTATGTACTTCTGAGGTACGCCTTTCAATGACGGACACTGCCACAGGATCTCGCGGTCTACAGAGTCAAATGCTGCTTTTAAGTCAAGAAAGACCACCATCGTCGGACGCCGATAAGCATGCCTGTGTTTTAGAACCTGACGAATGGTGCATATGTGGTCGATGCAATCACCACCAGGTCTGAAGCCAGCCTGATTTTGTGTTTGCAGTTCACGAGTCTTAGTTAGGCGCCCGATATTTATTAAGGCTAGCATCTTTGATGCTATATTAGTCAAACTAATCCCTCTATGGTTATTACAGGGTGATTTTGACCCCTTCTTTTATATTGCGATAATCAGTGATTGCGACCAGTCAGATGGGATTACGTCCAATTCCCAGATTTTAGCAAAAATATTAGTCAACCTAATCGCTAAAATTAGACCACCATCCTTAAAGACCTCTGGAGCCAATCCATCTGGACCATCTGCTGTTCTTCGTTTCAGATTAACTATAGCATTTTGAACTTTGGCTAGAGTCGAAGGACCTACTTCAGTGTTCAATTCAGGCTGTTTGGGAATTGTGGGTAGTTGTAGACTAGCTGAAGGCCAGCTGAACTGCTCCTTAAAGTGTTCCGCCCATCGTTCTAAACGTATTGGTTGAGAGCAGATAAAAGTGTCGTCTTTTTCTGAAATAGTCTCACTTACACTTGGATTTTTAGTTCCAGTTTCTTCTTTGAGTCTGAAGAGTTGTCTTGTGTTCCCTATAGCCGCCGCCTTGTCCATCTCTTTTGCCTTCGATGCTTACCACTGCTCACGGTCGTTTCTTAGACTTTTTCTTAACCTAGATCTGATTTGTTGTCGCTCTTCATCATGTTCGGAACCTGATGGGACGAGTTTGCGAGAATCCATCAGTGTGATAGACTTTGAAGAAATCCACTGGTTCTTTGTAACTCTGTGGTTTAAGTCGCTAATAGATGTCACTGCTGTTTCCACAGCTGCTTGTATGTCTTTCCAAGCAACATCTGGGTCAGCCTCGTTTTCAGAACTACCTAATTGTGACCTCAGTTGTTCCTGGAACCTACTTTTGGTTTTCTCACTGCTCAACTCAGTTCTAATGGGTCTTTTTAATGTGGCTTTTTTGCGTCCAGTGAGGCGCAAGCAGATGCGTGCCCGTATTAGGGCATGGTCGGAGTCCAAGCAGGTACTCCAGAATGAGCGACAATCTTCTACCGACCCTCTCCAACGATGACTGATGGCAATATGGTCTATTTGAGTCCATCGTTGGTTTGGTGTAGGGGGTCGCCATGTTAGACGATGTCTCTCCTTATGCTTAAAATTTGTGTTTGCTAAAAATAAACGATTGTCTGAGCACAGTTGCAGCAGACGGTCACCATTATCTGTTCGCTGTGCCGGAATGCTAAAATATCCACCTAAATGCCTTTCTGTTTGGTTTAAGCTACCTATCTGAGCATTAAAGTCACCCCCTACGAGTACTATGTCTGAGCGTTTAGCTTTCTGAAGAAGTTCAGGAAGCTTTCTGTAAAATTCATCTTTCACTTCATCTGAGCTGCAGTCAGTGGGAGCGTAGGCAGAAACAACGAAAAGGCAACGACGTGTGTCCCTATCCTTCCGAGTTCTTACCGAGCCGTTTAGCCGAACAGCACATAGACGACTGTTGACGGGGATCCACTCTAGCAGTGCTTGTTCCGCCCTCATGCTTAGTGCTATGCCTACACCTGCCAGTCCACGAGAACTGGCCATCGGGTCACCAGATACACGGAGGGTGTATCTCGTTGGCTCTCCGTTTTGCCGAGGTGAGGTCAAGTGAATGACCACACTGGAATCCTGTATGCGTGTTTCGGAGACACAGCATACATCAATGGAAAGAGACTCTAGGGTTTTAGCCAAGGAAGCCTGCTGACCGATTTGACATAGGGTGCGTACGTTGAAGGCTCCAATGTGTAGTTTGGAGCGAGGTTTCAGTAGACCTGGGACAGATTTTTGAGCACTAGAATCGTTGGCTATGGTGACACTTGAGGAGGAAGCCGAAAGAGGAAGTTTAGAGTTGAAAGTCGATGTAGGAGGAATAATAGGAATTGAAGAGGAAGGTTGATTATGAATACAGTGGTCTTGAGTGCTGTTAGAGGTATGAGGGCGGTTATCACTTCCCGGTTGCCCACACCGTGGAAGGGTTCTTCTGGAGGTACCTGAAAAGGAAATTGGATTAGAGGTGGTCTCAGTGACCTGAGAGCGTGACCGCAGTGCCCAAGGGACAACTGCTTGAGGCCGGTCGCGCACGGCCTTTTCGTGGGAGGTTTTTGACGTGTTAGCTCCGTTCTTCAAAGGGCCTTACCGCCGGAGACGGAAATCCGTGAGGTAAGGTGAGGTGTGCATTTTTAGGGTCGACCTTTTCTAACCCCACCCCTCCTTGTGGGAAGGCAGCATCGCTGTCATGCTGGTTGTCTGAAGGAAACACCTTACTGCTGTCACACCTCTGTACAGTCAGCAGTACGACTTCGCCTTCGGACCTTGGGTTTGTTGCTTTTAGTCTTACCGCTCTTCAACCGACCTGTCTGACATGGTAGGACCTTGAGGAACGGTTGTTCCAGCCAGTATAGCTCATCATGATAGGCAAGCCCGACCACCACGTCAAGGTAGCAACAACGGTCGGGCCATATCCACTAACCTGGGTAAAACACCGGACATTCGCTTTCCGTCCTCTCACTTTCATAAACAGCACCCCCGGTGTGAGAAGGCAGTGAGAGGGAGGTCCTTCCCCACTCTCTACTGTACCAGTGCATTTTGGGGGCGCCCGAGATGATCTTGTTTACGATCAAATCCATCCCTCACCTGTCAACTGTTTTCCTAACCCTACTCACATATCTATCACCAGGCACCACCAATGTTAATGATTTGAGTTCACGAAATCTTATCCCTGGTATCTTGAAACCATACTCTAAACTACATGTGTGAGATTTTGATTTTCGAACCTTTTCTCAGATAGGATAGTAGATTTATTTAGCTTGGACTCTACAACCTCGCGCCATCAATGTATGCTGAGTCTCCGAAACACACGGGGTCCAAGTACATTCATTCTCTGATCTTACTTTGTCAATGTAAAGAACTGGCACGATTTACCTTTGTGTATCTAAAATCCCACGACTACGTCAAGTGGCCTCACTGGTGCAGGTATAGCCTTAATTTCAAAAGCGGAACAGGCTCTCCTAGACTGAATTTCAATAGACAGTCGCTTTTGTGCTGTTTGACTACTCAAGACGGTAAGAACTCAGAAATTTAGGAGCACACGCCGTTACCTCTTCATTGTTTTTGCCTTATCTCCCATCGATTGCAGCTCGGACGACGTCAAAGATAAATTTATAGGAAATCTATCCAACCTCCTTCAAAGAGGTAGGCGCACTGATATATCAATGGTTACGGGTGATTTTAGTGCCCAAGTAGGTAAACCATGCCAAATTGAAAGGCACTTGAGCGGATCTTACGGTGTCTCAGCTCAATGAACAGATATTGGCGACCGTCTGTTGCAACTATATTCAGATAACCGTCTATTTCTGGCAAACACCAACTTTAAGCATAAGGAAGAACATCATCTGACGCGGCGACCTCCACAATCGACTCATCGATGGACTCAAATAGACCATATTGCCATCGTTGAGAAAACTCAATAGGAAACTGTCGCTCATTCTGGAGTACATGTTTATACTAGAATCGTGCTCTAGTTCGGGCATGTGTTTGTCTGCGTCGTCCTGGACTTAGAAAAGCCATACCAAGAAAACGCCTTAGAGTTCAACTTAACGATGAATAAGTCAAAAATATATTTCAGGAACAACTAGAGAAGGAACTAGTAAACCATGACAGTGATATCCACCCCGAGGTAACTTAGTATGATGTCCGAAAAGCTGTGGAAACAGTAGTGATATTTACTAGTGACTTAAACCTAAAAGTTATGAAAAAAAGGTGGATTTCTGCGGCGCCTAATGAGCTCACAGATGCTCGGGAATTCATCCCATCTGACTCCAAACACGATAAGAAGCAGAGGCCGATTAAACGTAGGTTGATCAAAGCTTGCGTAATGATCGTGAGCAGTGGTGGGTGGCGAATGCAGAAGAAATTGAAAAAGCAGCGACGATAGGTAATAGTAGACAACTGTTCAGACTTATCAAGGAAATGGGTATTAAAAATCCGGCTGTTTGTGAGACAATCTCATATAATGCTGGGACTGTTATTCACCCTTAATCCAGGAGATGAGCTGATCGGCAGGACACTTTATGTTACAGTTCAACTGGTATTCAGCCACAGACGATATCTTGACACAAATTCAGAAGGCTCGATTAGTTTTGCTAAATTGCATCACTCGGGGTGTATGTGAATTATCGCTCTACCAATCAAATGAGTTTGATCGGTTCTAACTTATTGATGTGATTCATGGGCATAAAGACGTGAGGGTAATCGTAGATTACTAGTATTCGATTACATATATTTTCGAATCATTCTCGTGTATTTTGGGACTACCTAGTAAAAAATGTCCGGGTTAGAAATAGGATTTATGTAAGGATGGTAAATTGATCGATATGTTAGATCTTCATCGACTGAGATAGTTGGGACATGTGCTACATATGTTCAACTACTGCCTATCTCGACGGATGATGTTGTCTGGTGTAGGATTAGGGTAAAAGCTAGGAGTGCCCAAATCGAGACGTAGAATCAGTCATTGAAGTCATTGGCAAACGAACTGAACCATGTTAACAGGTGTAGACCAGTTTTTTGCGGTCCGCATGATTATCATAGCCAGCGGTAGAGACTTTGGATGGCATGGCGCAGATGCATCCATTCTTCGTCATAAATCAAGCAATCGAATTACACCATCAATTTGTAGACTTAGATTTTTAAGCATATATTCCTGTTTTTATTCATTTCATTGCAACAGTTTATGGCGTGATCTTTATTTACATTGGGAATGGCGTTTGCCTAAATACGATTTACAACGTGAAAATTATGTTTCGGATTATTTATCCGGTCTGTCAACTCTACTCGATCACAATCGACTTTTAGAGGCTAGAATCGGTCAGTTGCAAGAGTTATTGAATTTTAAAATTGTATTTGGCAAGAATAATCTATCTAATTCAATGGAAAAATCTGTCACATCTAAGGTAGGTAGGTGTTTGTAAAAATAAATGATTTTAATAATGATATTTATGTTTAAGATATAAGTAGGAAAGGAATAAGTTTATGTTCTCACAGCTCCGAAAATTTATTGAGAACGTTACAGTAACTTTATCCTTCCAAAGAATCCAAGAGATTTTTTTTTGATGCAACGATTGAAATTTTGTCGCAAATCTTTGCTGAACAGTCATCCTTGTTTAACATTCGTTATCAATGCCTCAAGATGACAAAAGCAGGTGATGATGACTGGGTGAAGCACGCAGGTTTAGTAAACCGTGAATGTAAGCGCTTCAAACTATCCGCAATGACAGAAGACCAGTTTAAGTGTCTTGTATTTGTGTGCAGCCTCCAATCTCCCGAAGATGCCGATATTAGAACCAGAATTTTGAGTAAAATTGAACAATGTCCGAATATGACACTACAAGAAGTAACTACAGAGTGCCAGAGATTGGTAAACCTAAAGCATGACACTTCCATGGTCGAAAATAATGGCCAGTTGCCATACGTTCATGCTGTAAGCGGAAAGAAAGATTCTTGCTCAAGAAAGGTATCGCACGCAGATAATCAGCCTTCATCTCCATGTTGGTCTTGTGGTGGTTGGCATTATAAAAGGTTCTGCCCATATAAAGAACATTGTTGTAGCAAGTGTCATCGCAAGGGACATAAAGAAAACTGCTGCAGAAAAAGAACCTATAAACGACACTCCTTGAAACCCTACTCGAAGAAATACAGATATAGTGCTCGAACTAACAAAATATTGGTATCACATAACCGAGCACAAATTCACCGCCAACGAAAGTATGTTAACTTAGATATAAATAAAAAGCGCGCACGCCTGCAGCTCGACACTGCTTCTGACATCACACTTATTAGTCCAAGGACTTGGAATCTTATCGGGAAACCACAGGTGCTCCCAACAACCCAGTTAGCTCATAGTGCATCTGGTGGTAAATTAAATATTGTTGGAGAGGTTTATTGTACGGTCTCAAAAGGAAACGCCGAGACGAATGCAACTTTATATCTCACAGAGAAACCAGGACTAGATTTACTGGGTCTAGACTTAATAGGAACACTACAATTAGCGAATCACCCCATTAATCACATATGTAGCGCCTTGAGAACCAATAAGCCAGTGGAAAAGGACCTGAAGGGTGTTGTATTAGAAAGACATAGTCAAGTCTTTACGGAAGAGTTGGGGGAATGTAAAAAGGTAAAAGCACAACTGATTCTTAAACCGGGAGTTACCCCCGTCTTCAGACCAAAACGTCCGGTACCCTATGCAGCGCTGCTTATCGTTGAACAAGAATTAGAGCGTCTGCAAAGAAGTGGAATAATAGAGCCAGTAAACTTTTCTGATTGGGCAGCACCAATAGTGATTGTCAAAAAGCCAAATGGAAGTATCTGGCCATGTGCAAATTATTCGACTGGATTAAATGAGGCACTTGAAGCCCATCAATACCATTTTCCGGTACCAGATGATCTACTTGCGAAACTGAATGGGGGTAAGTATTTTGCAAAATTAGACCTTATCAGACGCTTATCTACAGATTTCAGTAGCGGAATAATGTAAGCATTACTTGACAATAAACACTCACAAGGGATTGTTCCGGTATAACAGACTTCCTTTTGGAGTAAAGACCGCTCCTTCAATCTTCCAACAAGTTATGTATATTATGTTGCAAGACATTCCTGGTACCGCGGCCTATCTCGATGATGTATTGATCATGGGTACAGACTATGCTGATTTAGAGAATAAGGTGGATACGGTTCTCAGACACATAGCAGATTATGGGTTCAGACTGCGTGCCGAGAAATGTGATTTTTTCATGGAGCAAGTCCGCTACTTGGGATTTATAATCGATAAAAACGGAAGATAACCTGACTCTGAAAACGTCGAAGCTATCAACTCCATGCCCCCACCGACGGAAGTACCAACTTTACGTTCTTTCTTGGGAATGATTAGTCATTATGGTGTTTTTCTTCCAGATTTGCATCGTCATCGTGCTCCTCTTAATTGCTTACTGAAAAAAGATACCAAGTGGTTATGGTCAAACGAATGTCAGGAAGCATTCCTAAAACTAAAACAACTCCTATCATCAAATCTTTTATTGACACACTATGATCCACATCTTCCAATTATAGTCGCAGCAGATGCATCTAACTACGGAATCGGGGCAGTAATTTCACATACTTACCCTGACGGGTCTGAGAAAGCAATCGCCCACGCTGCGAGATCGCTAACTATAACTGAAAGGAACTACAGTCAGATAGAAAAAGAAGCCCTCTCCATTATATTTGCGGTAAAAAAGTTCCACAAGATGCTGTTTGGTAGACAGTTCACTTTACTTACAAACCATAAACCGTTACTGGCAGTTTTTGGATCAAAAAAAGATATGCTTGTATATACAGCAAACCGGTTACAGAGATGGGCAACTACACTGCTGGGCTATGATTTCAAGATAAAGTATCAACCAACAACGGATTTCGGACAGGCAGATGCCCTCTCAAGATTGATTGCTCTGCATGCAAAACAAGAAGAAGAGGTGCTTGTAGCCGCCATAGATGTCGAGGCCGAGGTTCACAAAGTATTGTCAGACGCAGTTTCCGGACTCTCGATCACATTCGAAGCCATTAAAGATGCTAGCAAGAACGATAGTACATTAAAGATTGTTCGCCATTGCATACTCAATAAGTGGCCTTCATCTAGACTACATGGAGAACTCTTACAATACTTTCGTCGACGAGAGTCATTAACAGTTGTCGATTCATGTATCATGTTTGGCCATCGTATCGTTATCCCCAGAAATCTTCGAAACCAAGTCATTAAGCAGTTCCACAGCGGGCACCCGGGGATAAGTAAAATGAAACCACTAGCTCGTAGCTATGCATACTGGCCGTCAATGGACCATGATATAGAACAAAAATGTCGCAGTTGTTGGTCCTGTCTAGAGGCTGCAAAGGATCCAACGAAAGTTGAACCACAACCATGGCCGAAACCGGACGGGCCTTGGCAAAGAATACACTCTGATTTCGCCGGACCAATACAAGGCAGAAATTACTTAGTTATTGTCGATGCTTTCACAAAATGGCCAGAAGTATATGACATACCTAAAATGACATTGGAGAGTACAATAAGAAGATTGTCAGGATTATTTGCTTGTTTCGGGGTTCCAGAGATCTTAGTGACCGACAACGGTACTCAGTTTATGTCATCTGTTTTCAAACGCTTTTGCAGTGAAAATGGTATATCACACCTACAATCTCCTCCGTACCATCCTCAGTCGAATGGACAAGTAGAAAGATTCGTAGATACGTTAAAAAGAGCTCTGGTCAGAGGGGGAGGTGAGGGTATCCCGGAACAAGTGTTCAGTAAGTTCTTAATGTCTTACAGAGTTGCCCCTAAACCGGCAGTACCAGAAGGAAAGTCTCCGGCCGAGTGTACGTTCGAAAGGAAAATCCGGACAGCCTTTAATAGTATGTTGCCGCCCAGAAAGACAAATAAAACCACGAATGTAGATCGTAAGGTCAATCGTAGCTTCCAGGTGGGTGAAAAGGTACTTGTCAGATCGTATCAAGGTAATAGGAAGTGGGAACCAGGTGTCATAGAACGTCGAATCGGAAATGTACTGTACCTAGTCCGGAAAGGTGTCGGAAAATGCATAAGACACATAAATCAAATGCAAAGAAATGATAGCACAGTGGTCCCAAAAAACCGGCTCCCATTTCAATTGCTCGTAGATTCATCTCAGAAGAACCATCATGAGGGCAAACATTGAAAAGACAAACGACGCAGAGAGAAAGCTGTACAACCCTCGAGAGTAATGAACCGCAAGAGAAATGCGACACCCAAGCTTCAGGTGGATCCAAGAAAAAAAATCTTACACAACGGACTTCAAAGGGGGGAGTGTTATGACCTTGGATGTCTGGCTTTTCTATCACACGATTTATCTACCAATCCGAATATGACTTATACGAATCTTCACACTAGGCCAACCAATGACGTTCAACCGGTGTGGGCAGTTTTGCGTCCTTATTGGTCCTATGTCCTCCGAACCCTTCCACTTGAGTCCAGAACACAATACCAGCTTCCGTAATATGAATTTAATCAGAGCAGATCGTTTATTTCAGACATACTCGGTTTATATATCAATCAGACAGACCACAACGTACCATAAAATAGAAAATAACATGTGTACACAAATAAGCCAAAAAGTGGCTGTGAATGAGGGGGACAGTAACTAATAGACTGAGCATAGCTCAAGAATCGTAAATCGTACAATAATAAATTATAGGTCAAAATAAAGCTTATAATAAGAAGAATATAAATATACACAATCTAATTATTCAATAGTTTTACAATAAGAATATTTATAGAATATTAGTCCATTAGTAGTCCTCGGGAGTTACCTGTAATTTAATCTTCACTGGGTTATAACAGGGAGGTGTAATGACGAACCACCGGTGAACTCGAGGAAGCTGTAAGAGGCTCAGAAGGAGCCGAAGACGTTTCATCCAATCACCTTTCGGAAGAATATTCTAGAATTCCAACGTGTAACTTCCCGATTGGATTATGCTAATAACCCCCTGTATGCGGATTAGAAGACTGTAATGATGATTTCGTTCTCACTAAAAACTATAAATACCTGACAATTTTGTACTATGAATGACACTGGTTGGAATAATATTCCTTTCATTAGTCTTCTGTCTTCTTACTGCGACTTGGAAGGGTTTTGGTGTTCTAGTGCTCAGTTATTCGCGGTATATCGAGAAATCAACCTTTAAGATATAACAGTAACTTCCAAGTTTATTGTATGTTAGCTTTTTGTTTATATGACCGTACCTTGTACTACTACTTTGAGTTAATTGTTTGATTAAATTTAAAACTTCATATCCGATATTGTCCTTCAACAAGGAGGTGTTGTGCATATATATTCGTGGAAACTCGATCTTCTTCGATAACTCGATTCATCATCATTCGTCTTTGAAGTTGAAGAGAGATGTCACTGGTGGTCTAGCCAGTCTCATGTAGCATTTAATCAACAACATATTGATAGGCCGGAAGAGTTCACACGCAAAACATGAAAGCGTCGGGATGCTATCGCACGTGAATTAATAATTCACTTGTCTGTCTATATCTGGGTCAGCATATATATATAAAGCAATGTGACTATAACTAGTAATCTCGGAATCTATTGTTTACATCACGGACTTGACAGTTGTTTCATACTAGCATGGAACTTAATAATGTCCATCAACAACTCCACCAAGAATCGTACCCAGGAGTCAAATGCCAACTCAGTGATTTGAAAGTTAGGCATCATGCGAGGCTTATAGACACTAGATCCTACCCCTAGTGATATCATATAGATACACCTTCAAGGAACTCTCATTTTTGAACAAAATGGAGATACCCGATGCTTTTTGCGTTTCATTATAATCGTCCAACTAATGTCAAACGGTGATGTAAATTACATACTGAACAATATTTTGCACCATTACTTTCAAAGTTGATACTTTACATGTTTACATTAATAAGTCGTTTCTCTGGAACTCACTCTTCTTTAAAGATAACAAGGTTGTTTCATATACGAACCAGTTGTATATCAAACAACGATGTGATTTACATGATTAAATTAATCATTTGCTCACTAGTGACTAGCTTCAAGATGGATTTCTAGTGAAAAGTCATGGCCAGTGGGATCCAATCCCTATAGATTGAAGAATTACCCGCCTCAGACAGTGGATTGCGCGAGATCGATTGAAGTTAGACATTAACATTGTTGGATGCGAGCTCAGTGGTCTAGAGTTTAAGTTTTTACATGCAATATCGATGGTCTCGGGTTCGAGTCTCGCGGGTGCTGAGATTGGATTTCATAAAAATCTGCTTATTTCTTTATTGTTTTATTTTACTTCAACCATGTTATTTTATATGAAAAAAATTCCTCTTAGCTTATGAACAATGATGGAAATGAACAGACGATCATAGATACTATCTCCAATTTATTTCATTTTCAACGTACAATCACATCGTCACCAACCCTTAACAATAATGCTAATAATCATTCTCGTGTTCTTACAAAACAGAATTCACTTACGAGTAAGCGTAACTTGAAGTTGATATATTGTGTGGTGTTTATTAAATTATTAAGGAACTTTTTTTCCCCATTCATTGGAATTTACCGTAAAATACTTTGGGCGTTACGCATATATTGATTAAATGTAATAATGTGGGATGAAGTTTGATTATAGGCATCTTTGAAGTATTGTTCGCGTCTTGTGGAACGACCAAGTGAGTTATAATGAAGTTTACGTATGAAGGTTGCTAGGCAAAGGTAAAAAAATCCGTTGTCGAGATTGTTTAATCTTCATTGACTGAAGTGGTTATCATATACTTGTTATACATATGCGTAACCACCATCTACTTTGACGACGAGCGATGCTTATCAGTGTGGGGGTGGTTAGAAAAAACCAATGGTATATCCATAACAAGATATGACATCAGTCCAAGGTGTCACTAACTGTCACACTTTTCTATCTAGATACGGAGTCCTGAATGGAGTTCCGCGGGACAATTGCTATCAGTTATTAGAGACATTGAATCATGCGGGTCAGATTCAATCACTGTGACACAGATAGATTCACTCTTTATCTGGCTTTCTGTTGGGGACGTTAAGTCCCCAGAACTCACTTGGAAAAGGACATAATTTGTAATTTTATTTAGAAAATTTGAATTTCTTTGTTTTCGCGCCAAAAGCGCTCTTTTCACTTTCATGTCGTATTTCCCACTTGGGAGAATCTTAAACGCTATTGGTCCGGTGTCTTTTAGTATGTTATTTTGTAAAGCTTTCCAAGGACGGTTTTGTGCTGTATATATACGTTTTGATTTGTGTCTGTTGTTATCGCTCGTGCTTCTGGCTTTTGCGGAATATACTTCCCCGTTCGGACTTCGACTTCTCTCTCTAGTTAACGAGGCTGGAACGCAATAGAATAGCTAGTTCATTGGTCTTTGGTCACAAGTCTTTGTTCCGTCCGCAGTCTAAGTGAACTCGTAACCGCTTCAAACCTAGCACTTTCTATCTTGAATTCCAGTATTCATTCATATATACTTTTCATACTTTCTCGTTGTCATTAGTGCCACGTTATTTTCATCTCGTCGAGCCGATACGGTATGAAAACTTAGGCCAGGTTTTATGTTGATGATAACTGAATAAGTACACGAAATAAAGAAAATTACTGCATGGTAAAATTTTCAAGTCTCTAGTGACTTGATAATTCCTGTATTTCACCTGCCTAATAGCTGCTTCGCACCTATTAAAACATGCTTTGCTTGTTACAGTCAACATAGACACTGCTGAAGGGAGGGTCTAAAGGTGATTAAAATAAACAAAGTATTTTTAGACTGAATTTTCTTATTTACGTTGTTTCCAATCCTAATCTACTCATTAACTAATGGGATACATTTTTAGTCGATATAATCTAAACACTTTCCTACCCCACACCAGTATAATGAGCAAGTTAACTCAGTACGCTTTTCTTCACTCTGATTGATGAAGGTGGAAGTTTAACACTTTCGTAAAAGTCTTTTAGTCTGTTGCATTCTTTGGTAATCATCCGAAAATATCCTTTGTTGTCTGTATTTCCGCCTTTTAGTTTCTAGTGTACGGCATTCAGAAGCTGGGAAGATTGTGCGAATTAAAATTCAGTTAAGAATTCACATAACCACCAGAGTTCAATGAACTACCAGTCTTATCATTAATTTAATCAATCGATGTGCTTTGTGTAATACACTTCAATCATATGTATAGTATGTTGAGACTTGAGACCTTAGTGGATATCACATGCTGAGTTCTTCAGTGACATTTCCGATTATAATTTCTTCTATCCCGCAACTGCTATTCTCTCTGTAGCCTAGCATCTTGGGATTAGTCAGTTATACGTCCTGATCTGTGCAATTGACCTTCAGTTGACATCAACACCACTCCTACTGGTACACCTATTCGCAAACCTTTCTCAATCTCTAGTCTTAAGTCGGAAGAGAATTCAGCAGACAAACTTCAACTATTATGTTCCAATCACCGAGTCAACAACTATTTTAAACACATATTGGCTTACCTAAGCACGAATTATCAGATTGCACAGCACCGAATAAGAAGTCACACGTTGAACATGTAGTGGCTGGTACTATGTCAAGCCAACAAAGGTTATTCCACCTTCTGGACAAACCAATTTATTCATTCTTCTCAACCCACATTTTACCTTGTTAACTATTCGGTTATTATTCTTGACTATTTTTATTTGAATGTGTGTTAATTACCCATCCTATACATTATGTGTCTGTAACTTATTTTTGTTTGACTATAATTATCGATTCACGATTGGTTAAATCGAGTTGGCTCACTTCAAACTTCATTCTTGTATTTGACTTGTTTATATTCTAACGCGAATTAAGTCGATAATTATGTACAAGGATCGGCAGTGTCATATCCTTGTGAAGATTGAATTACGGGCAACTTCTGAGAACTATTAATGGACTAATATGTTATATATATATATTACAACTATTCAGTAACTAGATTATATGTATTTATGTTTCTCTTATTATAAGCTTTATTTTCACCTATAGACTATTATTATACGACTTACTATTCCCAAGTTATGCTCAGTTTATTAATTACCGTCTCCCACCATCACAGCCACTTTTGCCTAGAACATGTACAAATGTTTTTCCCTATTTTATTTTGTGATATAGTCCGTTTGGTTTGCATATAAACCAGGTAGGTTTGAAATAAATGATTCGCATAGCGGAATCTGGTATCGGTGTTCACGACTCAACTGGGAGGACTAGAAGGACAAAGAACCAGTAAGGACAACACATCATTGGTTGGGCACACCGCTAATATTGTATAAGTCGTATTCCGATTGGTGAATAAATCACGTGGTATTAAACCGTGCCTAATAGTCACAACAAGAGGCATGTACATTTCGATGACAATCAACATACGATCTAATCGGAATCACATACAGGGCCACTAAAAATACAATCATGCCATGAGTGGCAGGAGCGAAGCTGTAGGGTCTAGTGCCATGTCAGGCCCACGTGGGTTATTCTAGCTCCCGTACAGATCTACTTACTAATTCTTTTCAGGTCATACTTTGACCTTGTTAATTATTCGCTTGTTAGCCTTGACTATCTGTAACTTATTTTTGTCTGACTATAACCACTGAGTCACGCTTGACCGAATAGAGTTGGCTCCCTCGCTTTCCCGCTTCTTCATTCTGAATGTCTGTCTGTATAAACGAGTGCTTGAAATCAATTCATCCAACGACACACGTATTTGGCTTCTTATTACCGCTGTTACACAGACTGAATTAGCCTAGGTAATATACGGAGTCAAATAGAAAATTTATGTTTATAACATCTTCGTACGATCAACCCGGAGTCTCTGCCAGGGAAGTCCTACTCCCTGCCTTCTCGTGGCGGGAGTGTTGTTTACGAAAATGAGAGGACGAAAAGCGAATGTCCGGCGCTTTAACGGGAACAAATGGCGTATAAACCGATTCTTGGTCACCGGCTTCCATAGGACTGCATCTCCTTACGATGCTCCATTGCCTTGTGGATCAGACCTTCAGGTCGAAGGCTCGGGGTGTGGCCACCTGCTTCGGTCCGGGCACCCGGGCAGTATCACAGCCCTCACACATAGAATGAGATTTGTGTGGCGCATATGTATTTGGTGCCTCCTTGTACCAATGTCTATGTGTTAAAATAAATAAATAATAAAGCGCATAACAATGCTTAGTAAGTCTATCATGGAGGAAACATGGAAATACAATAATACCAGTTAAAGATAAAATATAAATGACAATAATCTGAGAAATACTTCCGAAAATATCCAACCTTTACGATATCCGTCCAACTGTAACGTGATACTAAATTGAGTTTTTCTAATTCTTTTTCTCTTCGAATAACAAATTTTTAGGTGATCAAAAGCGTTTATCTCAACCCACCATTGGACAGTTGAAATGTGAGATGAGTATAATCAACGTGAACTGGACACATTGCTTTAAATCGGGAAGTTTTTGCTGTGTATGTAATAGTTTGTTAGCTTTGTCAAATCAGTCGGTAAGTATGTAATACAAGCTACTAAGTAGGCATGGTTATGACACGATGGGCTGTTCAAACGTATTCACCACCATATTTCCAATTGTTTTAATGAATTATTGTCTATCAACCGTATTTACGCGCTTTCATACGATCTTTTTACAAGACCTCTTATCAAGAGGTACCATCACGCTGGTCCGTATAATTTTCTTCTTACCCCTCTATCTTTTGGAGCAACGAAAAGCAATTACCATAGAATTAATGCAGCAGATATATTCAGGGATGAAGAGAATTGCACTGAAAAAAGACTGATTCTAGATATTGAGCGATAAATTGCTGTTTAAAAACGATTTATACATATTTTTCTGAATATTTACAAATTAAATGTGACATCCTTAGGGAATCAGATACAGGTCAAATAACAACCTCACGCTATTGAACAGGACTTGGCTTCCCTCTCCAAGTAAAAAATCACACATGGTTTGGCGAAAACTTGACCTCATGTTGTAGGGGATAGAGATATGTATTCATGATTAAGTAAATACACATTCTTGATTTAGTTTCGGTCATCAAAGCTTCCTTCTCATTCAACTAGCTGGTTTGGGCTACTGTATAAGAAGCCTGTATGTCAGTATCAGAATCGGACAACACAAAAAATAACCGCTCAAACAAGATCCAACCTGTCAAGTCCGCAGAACAAGCTGTTAGTCAGTTGTAGAGAAATTTTAATAACTCACTTCCTTTCGAAGTATGTGTTGATGACGTTGTCTAAAAATGTTTTCAAAACTCTATAATTAACCCATTGAGTATGGAGGACACAACACCGTATGAACATGTTTTGATGTCACTATTTTCTTTCATGTTCTGTGTAAATGAAGATAATTCTATTAGTTCAGAAGTTGTAGATTCATGTAAAGCTAAGTAAGCTTTTGATAGCAGCAGTTTCCTCCTAGTTGAAATCCAAATGTCCATAATGTTCCCTGACCGTGTGTTTTCAAAAAAGTGACTTTGTGATATCGTGTTTACCACAGTGTTTGTAAAAATCCTGTGGGGAACCGTCTTATTTAAGGTCAGTGTTTGCACATCGTCAAGAAGCGTGCCGTAAAGACGGTACCATTTAATTTTGTCACTGAGTTTTTCTACAGTGAAATTTATGCTCAATGTCATATATTGGTCTTTAATTGTGTTTTTATTAATCTTCCGGAAAAACAAACAGGTTCATTGTCATTCATGTGGTATGCTTACATGCTCTCGGTGTATTCACTCAAACCCACCAAAAATTCCAAGTTTATGGTCAAATGAACAAAGATCTGTACAGTTTTGTAATCTATGCGCTTCCGGATTGCGTAATTTCTGTAATTACAGCAGCAGTGCTGGCAGTTCTCATTTAAAACATTTCACTCAAATGGAATCACTTGAAATTCCTGCTACTACGACTACTGCATAAATAACAGTTGTTTGTTTTTAAAAAATCCACTGACTTTTGGATAACTGACTCTGTTTGATTGACTGATTGGTTGATAATTGACAGATGTATGTGACATTCAAGTCGATATTCAGTTGTTTGTGTTGGCTGGTAAATGGTTGTCTGTCGTTCTCTTCATCAAGATAATATAATTCTAGGCTTCAAGTATTGGCATATTATATAATTCCCATTGAAACTGAATTATCTGTGATTTAACTGGTTCCTTTCTGTCTACAAACTGGTATTGTTATTATTACGTTTGTATTCAACCGGGTTTCTAAGGTCTAGTACCTTTTTCTCGTTGTACACTTATTATTTGCATATACATTATTTCATAACATCACAATAACCTATTCCGTTGTTTTTGTTTGTCGCTTGTGATTTGTGTTGTTTTTCAGAGGAAATTATGTGGCCTTTCCTTATTTCTTTATTGATTTTCCCATTTTTAACTCCTTGTATACACTCACCCTCTTGGTCAATGCTGCTTTTGCTGAATTTTGTTATCATTTCAAAGTTGACTTGATAATCAGTCGATATAGTAACGGTTGGTCGGACGAGGATTGTTTTCTTTTTTCGTTCTACTCTCCTTTCTCATACCCCTTATTCTTGTTATTAAAACATTGTATTTCATAATGAGACTTTTATGGCAGTTTGGTTTGGCTCCAATTAGATCGTATGATTATGTTACCAAAATATACATCCTGGTTATCTTCGTACATAATTATCGACTTAATTCACGTTAGAGAATAATGAAATAAACTAAGTCAAATACGAGGATGAAGTTTAAATACGTTTATTTCGTAAACTCGTTGATCCGAACAGACATTTAGAGTGAAAAGCGAATAAGTCAACTCGATTTGGTCAAGTTGCTTCGTAGTAATCACAGCGCGTTTATCACAAAATAAGCTTATCGATCGAATATAGATGATGGATGGTAAAAACGTAATATAGAGACGAGCCAATCAGAATCAACTCATATTTGTGCTCAAAATCTAAATATGTATAGCAGGCAGTAGAAATACCTTTGTATAGCACTGAAATCGTTTGAAATGGTATTGGAAAATGGCTTTTTGTCGTCATAACTTGTAAAGAATAGTGTTAGACGTATTAAATACTCCAATTCTACTTTGTAGATTGTATATAACAGACGAGTAAGTAATATTTTCAAATCGTAACTATTAATCCTGAAACAAATCATAAGCCCGTGGTACCATACATTACGGACCCAATAGTTAGATTTACTAGCTCTGAATCCTTGTTCCTGCCTAGCCCTGTCTTTTAAATTCAGAACACTGATCTCAGCCTCTGTGATGTGAATCATGTATTTCAAACATATTGGGTTTACATGCCAACCAGACAGACCATAAAATAGAAAATAACATTTGTACAAGATTTAGCCTAAACTTACTGTGAATTGGGAAATAGTAATTGATAGACTGAGCATAACTCAAGAACGATAAATCATATAATAATAGTCTATAGGTCAAAATAAAGCTTATAACAAGAGAAACACAAATATGACTTGAGGCAATCCGCACAGGATGCACATATGCCAACATGAAACTGATTGATTGCAGTCCTAAATAACAATGGGAAGATAGGAGTAAAACAACACCAAGTGAACAAATATGAATAGTTTAGTTACTTAACAATTATACAATAGAAATATATGTATAGTACTAGTCCAGAAATGTATTCCAACAGTTACCATTCATTATTCTCATCGGGACATAACAACTCACTACATCATTTTACAAATACACATATTTTTCATACCCACATTCTGACACAAATTAATACAGTGACAGACCATACAAATTCGCCTTGACCACAAATTACTTGACATTGACATATTCAAACCTATTATGATTTTGATTGTACTAGAAATATTCTTAATTGTTTCCTTTGGACTATTTAGACTTGTGTTAATTTGATGTCGGTCATTTACTTATTCTGAAGAAGTGGGTTACATTAAGTCACGAAACGTCAGAAACATATTTTTCTACTCATTGGGATATAACAAAAAGTATATTTATTATTAACCTTCTACTCAATGCTCGATTTGTTTGAAACCAAGTCCAACCTTGCCATTGACACCTACAAATACCATAGATTATTAATTTTATTAACGGAAACATCGTTTTTTACTCAAAATTAAGGTGAGGAATAGACTTTCGGCTTTGAAATTAGGATTAGAGTTGTCATTAGAATGTAAAGTTTAGGATTAGGATACATATAAACTAATAATAAAGCTTAATCCGGAATGACAACCGGAAGACCCAGACTGTGAGTTCTAGTCTGTAGTGACCTACTTTTATCAGCAGAACGCGATTGGAGTAATGGAAGCAATTACTATTATGACCAATTGTACCGGGGATTGTTTTACCGTACTTGTTTGTTTAACTGTACCAAAAATACACTCATTGTTCCGTTGATTGTGACCTGATCATTTTAAATCACTTATATTTGTAGTCTCTTGATTGATTGAATAAGTGGAATAATTTGTCAAATAGTAGTTCATGCTCACCCTTGTGTATCAGCCCTATCATATTCACTTTATTTATTTTTTATTTACAATTCTCTTACTATGGGATTTATAGATGTGTTTTACCTTATTATATTGATATCTGTGGATTGACTATTAAATCAGTGAAAAATTTAAGTTTGGTTCATTGTATTTTCGAGTTCGGTCAACTATGAATATTTGGACAATATCCTACTTGAAACAATATCAATCGGATCACTTTCATATCTCAGTGAAAAGCATATTTATAATAAACCACTGAATAATTATCAATTCCCGATTTTAACTGAATAATTGTGATTATTTATATTAATAATTATCATGTCTTTATTCGGTAACATAATTCTTTTATAGTAAGGGAGTTTGAGCACTTATTATGTACCCGAGTCTGATACCGATACAAAAGCTTCCTAAACGAGGGCTCAAATCACCTAGTTGTATGATAAAGCAGCTTTATTGATTGAGATAGAATAAAAAGTCCACATATACTCACTCATATATATGTATCCTTATTTCTTCAAAGAATAAAGCCACATTTTTAATCAATGGCGTGTTTCTTAGAAAAGGAATCTAAATATTGGCTAGTAGCGTGGACTTATAATTTTGCTTATGCTTCATCGGTCCAGAGTATCAAATATAACCAAAACTGTCTGTTTAACATAGATGCGAATTGCAATTATTTTAATGATACATTCTATATCTTTTGCGTCATCTCCTGACCGTAGCTTCTGCTTCATCCATCAAATATTGAACACATGAATTTCAGCAGATTTATTTCTCTTTATTTTCAAATGGACGCCTGTAGCTCTTCTAGAGTTACTGTCGGTGCCAAGTCCGGGTAAAGGAGAAGGGTTGGGCATGGGGGGTTAGCGTCCCCATCCCGTAGAAAACTAACTCGCTAAAAAAACGCTTACCAGAAAAAATAATTCAAACCATTTTAACTCTGCCCTGGGAGTTAGGTCTTCATTTAGAAGAATTATGACGCTTCATGATGAAAGCCGAGTTCCTTCGGAGGCCACGAGGCCGATGCCACTTCTAACAACCAGAGCAAAAATTTTTGTAGGTACATGGAACGTCCGAACAATGCGGGAGACCGGGATGACCAGTCAAATAGCAACGGAAATGAGGAGATACAATTTGGCAGTACTGGGAATCAGCGAAACCCACTGGACCCAAGCTGGACAGAAAACGTAAGCTACGGGAGAGATGCTGCTATACTCCGGTCACGAAGAGGAAAACGCTCCACACACTTAGGGAGTCGCCCTAATGCTGTCCAAAGTAGCACGAAATGCACTTGTAGGATGGGAATCTCACGGATCCAGAATCATCAAAGCATCATTCAAAACAAAGAAGGAGGGGATCTTAATGAATATTATCCAATGTTATGCACCCACCAATGATAGCAACGACGACATTAAAGATCAATTCTACGAGCGGCTGCAGTCAATCATAGAGAAATGCTCAAGAAAGGACCTCATCATCCTGATGGGAGATCTAAATGCCAAAGTTGGAATAGACAACACCAGATATGAAGATATCATGGGACGACATGGACTAAGAGAGAGAAACGAAAATGGGGAAAGATTTGCAAATCTGTGTGCATTCAATAAATTGGTCATAGGAGGCACAATATTTCCACACAAACGTATACACAAAGCTACATGGATCTCACCGGACCACACTACAGCGAACCAGATAGATCATTTCTGCATCAATAAAAAATTCCGAAGGACAATGGAAGATGTGAGAACCAGGAGAGGTGCTGACATAGCTTCAGATCACCACCTAGTTGTGGCCAACTTAAAACTGAAGCTAAAGAAGAACTGGACAAACAGCACTACAAAGGTTCAATACAACCTTCCTTCGAGATACTGACAAACTCAATAAATTCAAGATAACTCTCAACAACAGGTTTCAAGTCTTACAAGATCTACTGGAGGAAGAAGGAACTACTATGGAGGACAACTGGAAAGGCATCAAAGGAGCATTAACTTCAACGTGTCAAGAGGTTCTGGGTCTAAGGAAATACCATCATAAGGAATGGATCTCTATAGAAACACTGAACAGGATCAAAGAAATGAAGAACAAGAAGGCAGCAATAAACAACAGCCGAACACGAGCAGAGAAAGTCCAAGCACAAGCTGAATACATAGAAGCAAACAAGCAAGTGAAGAGGAGCATTAGAACCGACAAGCAGAAATACGTGGAAGAACTAGCAACGACGGCGGAAAAAGCTGCAAGAGAAGGAAATATGAAACAGCGTTACGATACAATGAGGAAACTAGCAGAGAAATATAGCAAACCAGAGAGACCGGTAAAGGACAAAGAAGGCGAGCCAATCACTGAAATTCAAGAACAGCGGAACAGATGAGTAGAGCAGTTCGAGGAAATCCTGAATAGGCCGGCTCCAATGAATCCACTGGACATCGAAGCAGCGCACACAGATTTTCCTATAGAT